CCTCCCTCCCTCCAACCCATCCGTCCATCCACCCATACATCTATCCATCATCCACCCATTGATCAATCCACCCACCCACCCATCGATCCACCTACCCTCCCTCCAACCCATCCATCCTCCCATCCATCCACCCATCCACCCATGCATCTTTCCATCTACCCATCCATCCCTCCCTCTCACCCTTCCTCCTGTTTAGCAAAAAATGTGAGGAGCCTTAAAAATGTTTCTGCCACTGGACTGAGCAATTCTGTTGCTGAGGATGGACCCTGAGGACACACTCTTCACTCAAGGAAGAGGTTAATGCATCTGGAGACCATAGTCTGTACTTACAGAAGCAAGACTTGGTGACCTACCTAAGTGTGCAACCCCAGAGGATAGCTTAAATCTTAGTATTTAAGATCTTAAACACATTCAGTAGAGTGAAGACACGTTCAATAGTATAAATTAGCCTTGAATGAATAAGATGAAAAATTTTACATTTAGTTTAATGTAAAGAAAAGTATGCATAGTAAGAAAGAAAGGACACTGAGGAACAAGACCGGGTCTTCATCCAGTTGTACTTTGAATGAGGTGTGTTTTTCTTCTTTTTTGGGGGAGGTTGTTTTTAGGTTTTAGAGTAAGTTTGTTCTGCTTTTCTAAGGAAACGCTGCACCCGTTAGTATGTGTCTGAGCTGACCCTGCACCGTATTCTGCATCCGGCTCCACTGTAGGAGTCACTTTAACTGACTCATTGTCGAGCCACTGACACTTGGGGGCTCGGGTTCTGAGCTCAGCCTGTTGATGAACTTAGTCTTGTGTCTGCCTGTCTTGCTGGGAGGTGCCCTGAGGCTGCTTAAGGCTAGTAGGAAATCACACTTGCTATGAGTCAGGTCCGACTGGACTGGCACATAACAACAACAACAACAGCAACAAGGCCCAGGGAAATGGCCAGGGAGAGGATTGGCTGTTTCGGCAGCCCTTTCCTGAGAGGGCTCCTCAACTGCCTCTCAGCATCTCTCTGGTCACCAGCTGCTGGGTCAGAGCCTTGAGAGGGTGGTTCTGTGTGGATGCTAGAGCCCATTCATCTGAGAACTGGGCCTGAGTGTGGCCCTGCTGCCAGGCACACAGGGAAGTGGTCCCTTTCCTGGACCCGTCCCTCCGTATCGGGGAGGCTCAATGTGTTAACTACAGGATTGAATCCTAAATGTTAAAGAATTCTGTGCTTTTCCCTGTTCTTGCTTTGTGTCCCGAGCTAGAAAACGCTGGAACGGCAAGCACCAAGTCAAACAGGGTTAGCACTGGGCCCGCAGGCCACACTGGCCCCAAGCTCAGAATGGCTGTTCCATTTTAGAAGGTGGTTACAAACAAACACAGAAGAATATGTTGTAGATACTGTGGCCCACTCAGCCTGAAATATTTATTATCTGGTCCTTTGTGGAAAAAGCTTGCTGATCCCTGCTCTAAAATAGAAGAAAACTATCAGTAATATGCGGTGGCCAGGTAGCTGGGGACCATTGTAATTGAACTTGGAAGACTTGAGCTCAGATCCCACATGCCTTGGTTCTGTTCCTTACAGCTGGGGGCCGGCCTCCCTCCCTTCCCCTCCCCTTCCCTCCCCTCTCCTTTTCCCTCCCTTCCTCCTTTTTCCTTCATTTCTCCTACCTCTCTTTTTATCTGTTAAGTGTTAATTATGATCTGGTTTGGTCGTGTTTATCACCTGAGTTGTAAAGTAATTTTGTTAACTATAAAATACTACACAAATACATACTGGTATTAGTGTTTGGCATAGTGCCTAAGGCATTTGACTGCTAACTAGGAGGTTGGTGGTTCAAACCCACCAGTCACTCCATGGAAGGAAGACTGGGCAATCTGCTGGTATTAATTAGTGTGTTGTAGTGCCTAAGGCATTTGACTGCTGACTAGAAGGTTGGTGGTTCAAACCCACCAGCCACTCTGTGGAAGGAAGGCTGGGCAATCTGCTTCTATAAACAGTTACTGCCTTGGAAACCGGAAGAGGGTCACTATGAGTCGGAATTGACTAGATGGCAGTGAGTTTGGTTTTTTCTTTTTTAATTACCCAGAGGCAAGCCTGCAGGGAGCAAATACTCTAAAATAAGCCAGCCCTTAACAAAAAATGGACTTGTTACTGTTGCACTTTGTGGGTAAGGTGATAGTGTAACAGGTCTTATGATCCTGGTTAATATTTGAGCTGACCCCCTTTCTTGGAAGGGACCCAGAAGTGATCTGATCTGTCCTTTTACCCACAAGGGTCTGAGAGCCAGTGAGGTCAACTGACACCAGCCTGGGTCACAGGGCTCCCACCATTGCAGACCCTGGAACTCAGGTTGCTTCTGCCTGCTTGAGCACTTTGCACATGCTGTTCCCTCCCCCTCAGCCCTCTTCCTCCTCCTCTCTCCCCAGTTCATGCCCGTGCTTCCTTCCGCTCTCTGCTCACCCCTCGCTTCTTCCAGGAAGTCATCTGGGCCCTCCTGAGCAGCTGGTACTTCCTGCTTGACGCTGTCCTGCTCCCCGCATCCTGCTCTCTGCAGTTTCCACCTTTGTGCGCGATTGTTTGATTCACGTCCATGTCATCCCACAGAGTGTAAGCCCCAGAGGGCAGGATAAGGACTACTCGCTCTGTTGCACCTGGAGGTGGGCACAGTGCTTGGCACAGAGCAGGCTCAGCCAGCGCTGGAGAGAATGAACGCAGGGCGTCTGGATCCGGACTCCGCACCCCGCCACCCCGCGTGGGACCCCTTTTCTTCTCAACCTCCTCATGCTCTGCTGGTTCCCGGGAGGGAACCCGGGAGGCCCAGGGAATGTGCGTGGTGATTTCGAGCCCTCGGGGCTCCTTGCCTTGTCATACAGCCGCATTTTCTCCCCTTAGGCCTCTGGACGGGAACACCGGCCTGTCCCCGATGCACAGCTGGGCCCCACTGCAGGTGCTGCATGGTGACACCGATGTCCTCTTTCCAGTCAGCGGAGTGGGTTCCTACAGCCCAGCAGGTTGGTGTTCCCTCCTCCTCCTTTTCCTCCAGGGAGAGTGTTGGCCCCCGAGAACCCACGGGCCTGCCTGAGTTACCTCCCAGTAGGCGTGGGAGCAAGGAGGCCTGGGCCTCAAACAGGGCCTTGTTGAGTTTCAGAAACGAGGTCTAGCTTCTCTTGCTGCTGAACCTGGGTTTGTTGAGGGGCTCTCGGCCGAGTGAGTTGGGCTCAACTGACAGCCAAGTCACCAGGCGGCCCCAGGCCCGCATTTCTTCCCCAGTGATTTATTGAACTCACTCCTGTAAAAAGGGCCTGTAAATAGTGCTCATTATTTTTTGCCTCTTAGAAGAGAGAAGATCATGAACTCCTATCTATAAAGGCCCTGCCACCCTTTGCAGAAAAGTGCTTGAGTATCAGGGAGTTGCTTGGTTAAAACCTGTCTTGGCGATGGCGATAGGTAAGGGTTGCTGCACCGTTCTGCACAGTTGAGCACACTCATGTGTGGTCTGTTATTATTTTCTTTAGCTCGAGCAGGTCACGGGGGTATGGGTGAGCCCTTGGGGGGATGGGTGTGCGGTGAAGCTGGCATGGTCCCTGGCACAGAGAAGGCCTCAGTCCCCACTCACTACTACTGTTCTACCCCTGGTCAGAGAGGACACAGCCCTACCTGGACGTTTAGGGGCTGCATTGCAGAGCAGGCTCAGCTCTGGTCTCTAGGAAATGGGCTGGTGGTGGGGCTGGGTGTGTTACTGCTCCGTGACACTGTTCCTGGCTGTAAGACGAGGCCAATTGGAGTCCGTGGCTGAGTTACTTAATGTCCGACAGTCTGTCTCCTTACCTGGAAAGTGAGGTGAGAGTGATGAGGATAACACCCCCCAGTACTGAGTGAGCAACAGCCCCACAAGGAGGGGCGTTGGTTAGGATATCCCTTCCTCTGAGGGTTGTGGCGATGTTTCCACAAGTTAACCTGGGAAAAGGGCCTCCACCACTGCTGTGGGGTCCATTGCGACTCACAGTGCCCCTGAGGACAGGGTGGAACTGTCCCGTAGAGTTTCCAAGGGCTTTCTCCTGTGGAGAGGCTAGTAGGTTCAAACTGCTGACATCTTGGTTAGCAAGCAAATGCCTTAACCACTGTGCCACCAAGAACGCCTTTGGGAAAAGGGCCAGGTGTGTGCAGAGTTCCTGGGAAAGCTTACTGGAAACTGCTGTAGAGCTGGGACATCTGCAGGCCCGAGAGCTGGGTGCTGGGACTTTGGAGGGGAGAAGAAGCCTCTGACTTGGGGGGTCTGCCACTGTTCTCACCCGCAGTTCCGTGTGGGCCTCTGCTTCCCTCCCCCCCCCCCCACTCTGGTCTGTCTTTTTCCTTGTCATTCTTACCCTCTCCCCTTTTGGCCCTTCCTTGGCCTCAACCACACAACATTCCATACTGGCTGGAACTTCAGTGTGGGCCTGAGTTGAAATCCCCAGAGAGGGACAGTCTGGTTAGTCAGCACGTGCCTGCAGGACAGGCCATAGAAATCCTGTGTCTGTGACCTGCATCAGCCAGCTCCTTTCACTCAGGTGACCATCCTTGGGCCAGACACTGGGGGCAAGGAGGGGGCGTGGTTCCTTGCCACCCAGCAGTGGCCAACACTGTGGACCTGGAGGGATTTCTGAGAGGGGCAGGGGCTTGGCGAGACTACACGGTCTCAGAGGCTGCCTAGCATCACCGGAGAGGTTTGACTCTTGGTTCACGCCTCTGGCTCCTGATCCAGTCCCCTCCTCACCTTGTCTTGCTCACCACCAAAGTTGTTGCTGGGCTGTATATAGCAAGCAACAAGCAATTAGCTTCAAGTGGCTTCTTGATGTCTTAGCTGGGCTCTGGGAACCCTCAGACTCTGGGGCTGTTGGCTGGAGGCTCCTGGACATTGCTGTTTGTGGGGACAAGTGTTCTTCCTCCCCTGCTTGGACTTTTGCAGACTTGGGTCTCCAGGGAGAGTAGACCCTGGTTGGCCTCAGAATCCTCTGAGGGACATTCCTCTCGCCCTACATCTGGCTGTCAGCCTTGCAGACTTGGGCTCCATCTCATCATCATTGATGGGACCCTGAGTTCCAGCTCCCTTGGATGATACTCACCAGAGATGGTGTGTGTAAGCCATTTGGCCAGCTCTTTAACTTACTCTGGGGGCAACAGCGCTGGCTGTCAGGAGCTCAGAAAACTTGTGACAGCCCAGGGCACACTCATGGTGGGAAGGATGCTGCAGGGGAAGGCCGGCACCTTGTTCTAAGGCTGCAGGGTCGGCCCCCTGATTGCAGCGCGGAGTCACATCCAGACGCTCCTGCCTGTTGCCCCGTTTCCAAGGGAGCACGTGGCCAGGTGGTTCTGAGATGTGGCCTGCCCTGTGGAGCACTTGCCCTGGGCAGGTCCTGCCGGTATTCCTCTCCCAGACTCCTAGTCTTCCCTCCCCTCCATTTCTGACTTGGGTCTCTCCTGCTCTAGTGATGTCCACACTTTCTCTGCAGCTCTGGCTGGGAAGCCACTCTGTCTCTTCAGTGGTGACTTTGCACACAGAAGATGCCCTGGTGGTACAGGGCTTCAGTGCTTGGTCACTAGCTGGAAGCCACCAGCAACTCTGCAGGAGAAAAGAGCTGGCAGTCTGCTTCCTGGGGATGACAGCTTTGGGAACCCTAATGGGCGGTTCTGCTCTGTCCTGCAGGGCCGCTCTCAGTAGGCATCTGCTGAATGGCAGTGGGTTTTGGTGTTCCATGCGGGCCTGAGGAGACCTCCCAGTCCTCGCTGACAGTGTTGGCACCTTCACAGTCACTGCCGTTGGGGCGAGAAAGAGGAAGGGGGAGACGGTTGGGGATAGAAAGGGAAGTACTGCAGCTGGCCGGGAGCGAGGACACGGCAGAGCAGGGGACCCTGGACACGGAACTGCCCAGAGGCCTGGGAGATGGAGCCCTGTCATTTAGGGGGCTCTGCTCTGGGGCCCCTCTTCTGGCCTTGGGAGGGACTCAGCCAAACAGGTGGAGGCCTTGATGCGGTCAGCAGTGCCCAGGGTGTGAACGTTGTCTACAGCAGAGTGAGACAGTTGAACAGCATCTCCTAGAAACCGCAAGGGGTGGAGGGCAGTGTCCAAAGATTCTCCACGTAGGAATGGTCAGTGGCAGGGAAATACTGGCCGCCTCTCATCTGATTCGTTTCTCCTGATGATGTGTCCAGAGTAAAGCGAATTGAAGCCTCCGTGGAAAAGGACGTGGTGTTTGGGTGAAGTAGAAGGCAGTGGGAACAAGGGAACGCCCAGAGAAGGGCTGAGGGCAGCAGTAGGCGCCCAGGGGAGGGCTGAGGGCAGCAGTGGGAGTGAACATCCCGATTGGGAAGGTGCCGTAGGACTGGGTGCGTTTCGTTCGGCTGTGTGTGAGGTGGCCACGAGTTGGAGAGGTTCCACGGCAACCACCAGCACCACCACCATCATCTGAGATAAGCAGATACCATTGCTCACCTCTTCCTTGAGGCTCCTGTGTTTAGCGTTGGGTTTTAGCAAATGCAAAGCCTGTCTAGTTCTGAGGGTGCTCTGAGGTTCATCAGAAACCTCAGACCCCAGAGCCCTTTCTTCCCCCATCAGGTCTGAAGTTACTCATTTCTGACTGCCTGGCCCCTGGATTTGTGGAGTTCTCCAGCTTGTGTAGGGGTTTGTGGCCCTGTTGTCATCTTGGATGGTGGATTTTAGATCTTGGCTCTCAGGGTGCTTTTGTACATCGGCATTGTGGCAGGCTGGCCGGCACCGTGCTGTGTGTGGTTCGTGACGCACATGTGTGGCATGGGTCCCATCTGGAACCCATGCTGTTCTTTATTCAGTCATTGGGCGTTTCTGCTCTGTGCCTGGCGTTGTGCTGGGTCCTGGATTCCGGAAGTAAATCCCATCAGGAGTCTTGCGCACAAGGCGGAAGCGTCATTTTAATTGCGGTGAAGGAGGAAGGGGTGGCTGGTCTCAGTGCTCCGAATGCTTCCACGGCCCTGTTCCAGTGCGTTGTCATCTCCTGCCTGGACTGTTGGGTGGTGGCCCCTCTAGAGCTCCCCTCTGATATCCTTGCTCCCCACTCTGCCTTCCCAACCCTGGCCTATGTCCGTTTCACAGCCAGGACGATCTTTTAGGAAATAAATCAGACGGCATGCCTCCCCTGCTCTATATGCTTCTGGTGCACTTAGGAGAAAGTCCAGCGTCTTCAGTGTGGACACCAGGCCCCAGCTGGCCCTCCAGCCTCCCTTTTCCCGTTTCTCATTTGTTCAGTGCCTCAGCCACACTTCCTTAAGTTGAGCTTCTCACCTGCTTCCTGTCTCCATGCCCTAGTGTGAGCACTCAGCTCTTGGCTCAGGGGCTGGTGTCTGGTCCTCAGGCTGGTCAGGTCTTGTGTGCTTGTCGTCCTAATGACGTGTATGTCTCTGTGTGCCTGTCTCAGCCTGTCATTGTGTGCTTGTCTGGTTATCTGACTAATGGCTGTTCCCACAACCAGAGTCTAAGGGCCATTTGGGCAGGGGCCATGTCCACCTTACTTCCAATGTGTCCTTGACCCAGCCATTGCCAGGCCTTGAGCTCAGTGACATTGTAGGGTGAATGAGGGGATGGGTGGGGGAGGTGAAGTGGGTAGCAGTGGGAGTGATGGGATGGGTGGGTAGGAGGTG